CCTCAGACAGAGCACGGTGCTTGGACTGTGGGGTGTAACTGTCATCCGTGATGGGAGCAAGAGCAGTGCTTTTGTCCATGGCACCCATTGTGTGAGGCCATCATATGCCATGATTCCGAGCCTGGTGCCACAGCATAAAGGGCAGTCAGGACTGCTGGCTCTGGCTGCAGAAGTGCCCAGAGTGGTTCAGGCTGAATCCTGCTTTAAGGTTCTTTTAAGGAAAAAGGAATACTAAAAAATTTTCTTAACCTTCACACCAAAGGAATTCTCTCTGAAAAAAGAAGTATAAGGTAATTTAAAAATTGTTTTAGAAAGGTTATTTTGAAACGATGCGTTTCCTGTGTCCGGACATACTACTTGGGACTCTAAATAAGGTCACATAACAGTGTATTTGTTTTGATTTCCTTTCAGAGGACAACCAGCTCTTGATTATTACCTATGCACTAAGCAGGCTTATTCCTGTAATACACTAGCTTTATGCTGGTGTATGTGTTTCCATAAACCTTTTTTTCCTTCTCTCTCACCATAGTATTTATAGAAATGAATGTGTTACTGAAAGATTTAAATTAGTAGCTGTAGAAAGGAGAATTATAATGATATAAAAGGCTTGATCTGTCACCATCTCTATCTTCTTAGTCATCTTTTTTCTCTATCTGTTTATTTTAAATCTTAAGAAAGGTTATTTTCAGGAACCATTTACTATCTTAGTCTTGGAAATTAAGAAAAAAGAATAAACTCCTTTTTATGCATAATTTCTGAATGAAAAAAGCATAGGAATCAAATGATATAATTATATTTGCTTTTTCTAAGGAAAGTTTATTTGGAAAAATACTTGTTTTTTTCCTCACCCACAATTGATTTGACTGTTCAGTGAACTGAACTTTTAATACAAGCTTCAGCTTTTCCTACCAATCCATTTCTCAATTTATGAAATCCTGGAGTCAAAAGATAGCCCGATATATGAATCGTCCTTAGAAAGCATTTATTTATAAATGCCTAAAGCAAAAATGTAAATGATGTCATTTTTCAGGTGAATTTTGGACACCAAGATAATCTGTTCCTTTTTTGTCACAGGTATATTTTCCTTGCTGAATAAAATATAACTATGTAAAAATCATAACTGGATTTAAAAAAGCTTAATTGATTGAACCCTTGAAATTCAATCAAAAGCTCCCCATGCTGGTGAACATAAAACTGTTTTGCCGGATTCCTTCTTAGTGTTTTATGGTGTAAAAATGCAGTTAGTACAACTGCTGTTCCTACTGACTTCATTTGAAATCTCAGCAAAAATTCTGTCCTCAGAATTAATATTTAAAATGGGAATTACTGAAAATATTTAGTACAGATATTTTTTTGACGTGTAGACACTGAGTATGTGCATTGGTTTTTTCCACAACCCTGCCATATCATCTTGACTATNGTCAAATGATTATGAAGATTAAAGTAAACAGCACAGTCAAAATGCCTCAGACAGAGCATGGTGCTTGGACTGTGTGGTGTAACTCTCATCCGTGATGGGAGCAAGAGCAGTGCTTGTGTCCATGGCACCCATTGTGTGAGGCCATCGTATGCCATGATTCCGAGCCTGGTGCCACAGCATAAAGGGCAGTCAGGACTGCTGGCTCTGGCTGCAGAAGTGCCCAGCGTGGTTCAGGCTGAATCCTGCTTTAAGGTTCTTTTAAGGAAAAAGGAACACTAATAACATCTTAACCTTCACACCAAAGGAATTCTCTCTGAAAAAAGAAGTATAAGGTAATTTAAAAATTGTTTTAGAAAGGTTATTTTGAAAGAATGCTTTTCCTATGTCTGGACATACTACTTGGGACTCTAAATAAGGTCACATAACAGTGTATTTGTTTTGATTTCCTTATGGAGGACAACCAGCTCTTGATTATTACCTATGCACTAAGCAGGCTTATTCCTGTAGTACACTAGCGTTATGCCTGGTGTATGTGTTTCCACGAGGAGACTTATAGTGTGAAATCTGAAATACCATAAAAATAGGTAAAATAACATACATCATGTACCTATCATCAGCTTTAGAAATTATCATATGAACAATATTGTTTTACATATATTCCCATCTACTACTACTCATCCATAATTTGTTGAAGCAAATCTTAGGCATTGTACTTCATCTGTAAATGTATCTAAAAGATAAGAATTCTTGCTTTCTACAAAAGTATCACAATACCATTATCATACTTTAAAATGATAATTTCTTGATATCAAATATCAGACATTGTTCAAAATTTTCATTGTTTAAATTCTTAACTCTCAGAATTTCCTTAACAGTTTGTCTATTTGAATCAAAATCTAGGTAAGATCCAAATATTGAGCATGTTTGATACATCCTTTAAGGCCCCTTTAATCTTCTCACAGTGTTTTCACTTCTTTAAATTTATTTGTTGAATAAACTGGGTAATTTGTAGAATTTGCTATAGACTGGGTTTTGCTGTGTAGTTTATAAAGCCAGGGAACTGTTCGTGACATTTTTATATAGACTCTCTTACTTTGTTCTTTACATTTCTACCCTTTTTCATGGCTTCCCTTAATATTAATTTCACCCATATTTTACCTTTAAAAAAATATTTAAATTATTAGCCTTCATAGAATAGCTTGCATTAAGCCCCACCCCTTTGGAATGGTCGGCTGAGTCCTAGGCAGGCGTGAGAATCTCAAGCTGATCCCATTGCCTCTCATCACTCTCATTCACTTACAGTGTATAAAATGATATAGATGCTGTTAATTATAGACTGTTTGGCAATTTATATTCAGAGTGGAGAGAGTTCTAGTTAGTTAGATTTCAGGATTGTGCCAAATCTTATTAGATTAATTAAATAAATATTTTATCGTTAAAATGATAAAAAATACATGTTCCATTTGTATCTGACATGCTCTGACAATCTAGGTCAGTCGGTTCAGTAAATGTGCTATTGAAATGTGGCATGAGGTCCTTGAATCTTAAGTTTAAATGGCTGCTGAATAAAGATCCTTGATATTGTCATACAGTTTTTATGTGTTAGGTGGAACCGCATGAAATTGCCTATTTTGTAAGTAAAAAATGATTACATATTTACAATTTTATATAGTTCGACCTAATGGACAACTATAGAACCTCAGAAAAGGAACTTGCAATACTTGTAACATGTTCTAAATCTTCCCTGAAATCATATATTAAAAGCTTTTTATTTTTTTAGGAGAAAGAAATCAGAAGACAACAAGCTGTTCTTCTGAAGCATCAAGTCTGTAGACATAAAGTTAAACAATTGTTACAATGTACATTTTATGATTTTTCTTTAATCTTAATTTGGGGAGAATGTTGAAAATACTTTCTTAAAACTTTCCATTATGATTCCACCTTAAGTTTTCCCTTCATCTTACAGTTATTGCCTTGCTTTGGTATTGTTGTCTTTTGGGGGGTTAAAACTTGGTTTCATGACTATGTGATTTCTGTTTCATAATGTTGTGCCAACTCTTTCTACCAGGAGGTGGAGAGGCATAGACTAGATATGGCATGGGTATGTTTATTTTTGTACATCTAACACCACATTGTGATTTTGTTGTGGTATGGTTGTAATAGCAATGCACAAAGTGTAGCACTGACTGCTGTCATATTATGTACTGCTGCATGGCGTTACAGCACAGTGCATTGCATACATCTGCTTGTCTGTCTATAAGTATGATCTGTCCCCAAGATTTTTAATTGAATTGTGTAAGCCTTATTGAAGGCTGCTGTCTGAAAATTTGTTACTGATGTCAGAATGAAAGTTGGATGACTGTACAGATACAATTATAACCCATATTCTCCCATTTTTCCTTATGCAAAACTGCCATTTAATACAATGGGAATTTTCAGTTAGGTTGATGAGAGAATATGAAATAGATTGGTGTTTTATAGCTAAATTTTAGAAGTGATATTAGAAATATCCCTTTGGAGGTATTAAAAAGAATTGATTAGATCAAACTAAGCTACTGGTAGTGCTTATCTTATTTTCATACTGTGCCTTTTAGATGCCCTTATGGCCAATGGTGCAGCTTTTATGGCTTTAAGTAGTGCATCAAGTGGCAGACATCAGTAAATAGGAGTATCTCCTTTCATTGGTATTGCTATATGAACCACATCTAAGCAAAGAGCAGAGAAAAGGAACAACAGAGGAAAACGATTTGGGTCACTTGTCAAAACAACCCAGTTGTACCTCTGTTCAGGAACTGAAACGAGAGGAGGCTGAGTACGTGACTTTTTGCCGGTATTATTTCTGTTCCCCTGTCCTATATGTTCATAACATCCCATTGTATCTGTTTAGAAAGGTTCTACCATACTACAGGTGACTTTTTGACCGTTTGTGTAAATAGGAATTTTCCTATGTAAAGTCAACTCTGTACCAGAAGTAAATGTAATCTTTCATCTTTTTTATGAATTGATTTGCATTGTCTTAAATTGAAAGAGAATGAAAGCTAAACTTTTACTAAAGATGGATAACTGTGAAGCTTGGATGTTGATTTGAAACATTATTTTCTCTAGGATGATCCTTGCCGACATGGTAACTCGCCTCAGTGAAGAGTTGAGAAAAGGAAAAATGGAGAAAAACACTTGTGACTTGAAAGAATTACCACCTTTTACTTATTCTAAGGAACCGATAGAGAACCTGGACCTCTACCAGGACATGACTTTTTCCCGGTATTATTTCTGTTCCCCTGTCCTATGTGTTCATAACATCCCATTGTATTTGTTTCAGAAACTTCCACCATATTACAGGTGACTTTTTGACAGTCTTTGTAAGTAGAAATTTTCCTATGTAATGTCAACTCTGTACTGTAAGTAAATGTATTCTTTCATCTTTTTTATGAATTGATTTGCATCGTCTTTACTTGACAGAGAATGAAAGCTTAACTTTTACTAAAGATAGATAACTCCAAAGCATGGATGTCGATTTGAAACATTATTTTCTCTAGGATGATCCTCACTGATATGCATACTCGCCTCAGCGAAGAGTTGAGACAAGGAAAAACGGAGGACAACGATTAGGGTCACTTGTCAAAACAACCCAGTTGTACCTCTGTTAAGAAACCGAAACAAGAGGAGTCTCTGTACCTGACTAATTGCCGGTATTATTTCTGTTCCCCTGTTCTGTATGTTCATAACATCCCATTGTATTTGTTTAGAAACCTTCCACCATACTAAAGGTGACTTTTTTTTTTTGAGAGGGCATCTCTCATATTTATTGATCAAAAGGTTGTTAACAACAATAAAATTCTGTATAGGGGACTCAATGCACAATCATTAATCAACCCCAAGCCTAATTCTCAACAGTCTCCAATCTTCTGAAGCCTAATGAACAAGTTCTTAAATGGTGAACAAGTTCTTACATAGTAAATAAGTTCTTACATAGTGAACAGTGCAAGGGCAGTCATCACAGAAACTTTCGGTTTTGATCCCGCATCATGAACTATAAACAATCAAGTCAGATATGATTATTCATTTGATTCTTTTGCTTGATTTATATGTGAATCCCACACTTCTCCCTTATTATTATTATTATTATTATTATTATTATTTTTAAATAAAATGCTGAAGTGGTAGGTAGATGCAAGATAAAGGTAGAAAACAATGTAGTGCTGTAAGAGGGCTAACGTAGATGATCAGGTGTGTGCCTATAGACTAAGTATTAATCCAAGCTAGACAAGGGCAACAAAACATCCACGGATGCCAATGAATTCTCTCAAAATGGGGGGTGAGGTTCTAAGCCTCACCTATGTTGATCCCCAATTTCTCACCTAATGGCCCCCCTGCGACTGTGCCTGTCTTAGGTTGTTCCTCTAAAGGTGACTTTTTGACCGTTTGTGTAAATAGGAATTTTCTTATGTAATGTCAACTCTGTACTATAAGTAAATGTATTCTTTCATCTTTTCCATGAATTAATTTGCATTGTCTTTACTTGAAAGAGAATGAAAGCTAAACTTTTTCTAAAGATGGATAACTCTGAAGCATGGATGTTGATTTGGAACATTATTTTCTCTAGTACCAACCTTAATGAAATGGAAACTCATCTAAGCAAAGACCAGAGAAAAAGAAAAATAGAGGAAAACACTTCTGGTAACTCGTCAGAACCAAGTTTCACTTGTGTTAAGAAAGTGAAACGAGATGACTTTAAGGACCTGTGCAGGTATTATTTCTGTTCCCCTGTCCTATATGTTCATAACATCCCACTGTATTTGTTTAGAAACCTTTCACCATATTAAAGGTGACTTTTTGACAGTTTGTGTAAATAAGAATTTTCCTATGTAATGTAAACTCTGTACTATAAGTAAATGTATTCTTTTGTCTTTTTATGAATTAAATTTGCATTGTGTTTACTTGAAAGAGAATAAAAGCTAAACTTTTACTAAAGAGAGATAACTCTAAAGCATCGATATTGATTTCAAACATTATTTTCTCTAGTATGACCATTACCGAAATAGAAAATCATGAGGATGCATGGCCTTTTCATCTTCCTGTAAATTTGAACTTTGTTCCTGGTTATACCAAAGTTATTAAGAAGCCTATGGATTTTTCCATAATTAGAAATTAATTAGTGGACAGTAAGTACATCATTTCTGTTCAGTGTTTATTGAATGTTTGTATGTGCTCAGTACTCTTATAGTGAGCCAAGAATACATTAATTACAAGCCCTGCCTTTAGATAGGATAGATATGTGTGGTTAAGGTAGTATGATACGGAAGATGAGTCAATTAAAATTATATCAGTAATTAGAAATAGTGTAATAAAGCTGTTTTGACATTGGAAGGCCACCAAACCTAGGCTGGGAGTTAAGGAAAAGTATCAGGGAAGCCTCCCAAAGTGACTAAGTGACATGTAAGCTGGAGCTTATATTGTGCATCGTTGGGATATCAATACCATTTCATGTGCATTTCACCAAAATTGATTTCATAATATTTTCAGATTTTTATAAGATGGATCATTGGAAATTTTAAATAATGAAAGCTTTATAATGAATCGTAGATTACAGAAAAGGCATTTGTTAAAAATAGAAGAAAACTTATTTGCCCCTGTCCCTACCATATCGTCTTTGTGATCCTATCCGAAGGGTAAAGTGGCTTCCTGGTTGCAGTTAATGATCTTTGTTAAAACCTCTTCAGACTCCTGCCAGGGAGTGACCACTGTCAGTGGGCTTTAGTTGGTTCTGGATACTGGACTCATGTGGAACCACAGGAAGGAATGAGGCTGTTTGCTTACAGAACAAACCCACATGAAGCATTTCACGGGAGCATGGCCAGGAGCCGTGGAGCTGCATGGGCCTCTACTCCACTCTCCCCGCTCCCTTTATTCCTATGTACTGCTTTTGGTTAATGTAGCTTGTGCCCATAACTGCAGGCAAATTCACCAGTAATTCTGGAGAAAAAAGGAAGTTTACATGAAAAATAACCATAAAATATATTTTGATTACATTCTTACTGTGTTTTTTAAAAGCATTATTTAACAGTGTATTATTTGATCCCTCCTGGATATTCCTTGGGAGAAAATGAC